TCCAGGTTTTCCGGTCCGTACAATGCCTTTTGTTATCTGCCCAATATCACCACAAATTCCTGTCCTCACCTTTATTCTTATTATTTTTTCCAACACCCACTCTCCCGCACTTCCTTAACCCTTAAGTTCTTTACCGGTACGACCCCACCAGTCACGGTCATGGGCCCGGCTTGGTCCCCACTTTGTACGAGGCTCGACTGGAAAGGAATACCTAGAGTCTACGCCCTCGTTTGGCTCCCATTTTTTTAAATTAAAATGGAAGGAATAATATTGTTTTGGAGAACGAGTAGTTGAAAAGGATGGAAAAAATTTCGATTTACGTGTAATATTATTTTATAAAAATTGTGTAATTGAAAATATGAGAGAGAAAAATAAATTTTAATTTAATATGGGCTAAACAAGGGACTAATTTGGCACTATGGTTCCAAGCTGTCAACAACTTGAAGGTGAAAGAAATATACAGGGTGCCCCCCAGGGCACATCCGAGTTGGTTGAACAATCACTTCGCTGGGACGCTGGAAGCAAGGGTGGAGAGTTCGATTCTTGGAGTTAACACTGGGAGCCATATGGAGAGGAAGTCATTGGTGTGAACAAACGCCTAGTGAGGAGAGCTCTCTTTGCGGAAGGAGTCCAAATGAGTTGTGGGAACCTGGGAACCAACAAGGGCACATCCTGCGATTTACCTCCCTGAGCAGCTGAGGGGCCGGAGGTTCAGGGACAAGGATCTAGTCGGACGCAAGCCCGGACACCTTGTAAAAAAAAAAAATATATATATATATACAGGGTGTATTGTCCCTCATGGGGTGGTCGAGTTGATGGATTTTGTGAGCGCGGAAGTCTTTGGTCACGAGTTCGATTCCCTCTACTAACACTTTCTCGACCGAGCCTATCGCACAGGGCTTGCCTAGTGCGATTTACTTGACGAGCGTAGTTTGCAGACTATTGCGTCAACCCGAGAGTTTACTTCGTATGGACTTGAAGGGTAGCGATTGCGGGTTCCCACGTCATAAAAGAAAAAAGTATATATATATATAGACACACACACACACACACATATATATATACACACACACACACACACATACCTTTTTAGAATTTGAGTTCGATTTAAATTTTGGACAATCAATTTTATTCCCTTGATACCTTTTTATATCATATTGAACTTGATTTAGAATTATTGTCGAGATGGTCGAGTATGTCTTTTTTGCTGCCATAAGTCATATTATACTTGTGATTTATGAAATTAAAATCTTTAGTCTCCAATGAGGAAATGTTGTGAAATTGCAAGTACTCGGTGAATGAATTCTTAAACTTCAAGAAAATTCAGATTACAAGACATCCTTTCTTTAGTAAAGTTTTCATAAACTTACACGTGTGTGTATATATATTTCAAACACGTATTCTCAAAAAAATTTATTTTGACAAAATCTATATGAAACAAGCTCCATGTCGATAAATATTTTTCTCCAACGCAAACGTGCTATGACTTTGTCTAGCTAAGGTGATAAGATCAAAAGCTACCTCTAGATAGAGGGCTATTTTAGAATGTATGAGTCACCATAATTTAATTTCTCTCTCTCTCTCTATATATATATATATATATTTTTTTTTTTTTTTTTTGGTTCTCTCCTTACAAATATTTATTTTTATTTCTTCTATCAGATATACATTAGAGATAATATTGGAAAAATAAATAGAAATCATAGAAAAATGAAATTAGAACTAGACAATATATTCTCGATACCAATGTCAAAAATAAATTCTTTCTAATTACCTACCAACTAGATGACAATCAACAAAGACAATTTTGCTCCCGTTTGAAATTTGATGCATAAATTCACTAACTTAATTGATATGATTTATTTCTTTAGCCCCTGTTTAATAATCATTATTTTCAAAAAAATAAAATAAAATTCAAATACTTATTTTCAACCACACTTCACACAATAAAATATTTTGCAAGTAAATCCAAAAATTTTCCTTATTTTTTAACCACACATCCTTCTAAAAATCACTATTCAAAACTCCATTTTTCCCAAATAACGATTGTCAAACAGTGGCTTAGTGACAATAGTATTATGGTCCTCAGCCAAACTAAGAGGGTACATTTTGTATTTTCTGAAAAAAATTTATATGTAATTATATTCACACTACAATTTTTATTTTTTGTACACTTTTTAATTGCACCTAAGATTCTTAATCTATGCTCGCTAACAACTTTTTATGTCATTTTTTCTTAAATTTTTCATTAGTTAACACATTTTTATTTGATTATAATTTTATGACAAAAAGTAATTTGAAATGACATAAAATAACTTATTTTTTCATCATATTTATAAAAAATAAATAAATAAAAAGCGAAAGAAATATTTTTTGCTCATTTTAAAGTTTGAAAACAAAATATTTTGATATAAATCACCA